TTCTGTTATCTGCATTAATCCTGGGATGTGGGGGAGGTAAATTCCCACCAATTGGTTTTGGGATGGAACCTCACTTGGGCCTGGTGGTGTGGGCTTGGGCCTTGGGTAATTGCTCTCAATAATTCCCTAACAGTTGCAATGATGAGTATGCTCTCAAGTCCGGCAAGGATCCTCCAAGTTTATTGTTAGACAAATCCAAATATTCAAGACTTGAAGGTTGCCCGAGGCTTTGTGGGTGAAACTCATTCAACTGATTGTTGTTGAGTCTCAACTCTTTTAAGTTTGAAAACGAATGGTACATGGAAAATGAAGTGAGATTATTCTCGGATAGATCAAGATATTCTAAGAAAGAAAGATGAGAAAGCCACTCAATATTGTCGACTCTCAAATTGTTGCCACTGAGCTCAAGGCGGATTACGTGATCATTTGTGTCGCTACACTCGACATGGTCCCATTTGCAACATTCCTTTTTATCTTCTTCACTTCCCCACGATTTGAGATTGTCATTGCGGTCTATAAAGCCTTGCTTAAACTTAAGAAGAGCTTGTCTTTCCGTCTCTATACACCTAACTTCAGAAGCGGATAGTACTGAAGTTGGTTTCATGAAAAGAGAGAGTACAAACACCAGCAAAATGAGTATTTTAAGCTCTGTCATTTTTTTTCTCTGGTAGTGATACAAAAGAAAAGGATTGAAGTTTTGAGTTGTTTGTGTTCATGGAAACTTCAATTTTATAATCTCACAACCCAACAGATACGGTACGAGTGGTGGACCTTGGTTACATCGGTCCCACAATGAAGTAGACACCATGTCATAATTTCTTCTAGAGAACAGAACGGGGAGACTACTAAAAGTCCAAGTCCACTAAAACATCATCTTTATAGAAATGTTACAAGAATTTTACTCGATTTTTCCAAGAAAATTGGGAATCAGTTTGGCGTCCGATGCGAACCGAAAATTTCAAACGTCTTAAAAGAGTCTTGAACTGGCTGGAGCAAAAATGTTTTTACGATTTTGATCCCGATTTGAACTTTCGACTATTTTTAACTTGTTTAGATTATTATCCAAATGGATTTTTTAAACATTGCTTTCATATGGGTAGATCAGATGGAACTATCATGGTACAAGTGGAGGGCCCCTTTGGAAAACCAAATAACTGGATTGAACTTAGAGACCACAATGAATGCCATTCTGATAGCGTATAGAACACGAAGACAGCTAAAAGTTTACATTCACTATAAGAACGTCTTTGTCTTTCTAGAAATGTTAAAAGAACCTAACTGGTTCGAAGTCCTATCCGCTTATGTGTACAGAGCCGAAAATTTCAAACCCATTGAAAGAGTTTTCTACCTAAAAGATCAATGTCTGTTCTGTTGTAGTAGATTTATTTGGGTATTTGCATTGCTTGGTTGGGCATACTACTGTTAGTGGACTTGAAGAAATTTGATCGTGAACTTGTTTTGAAAACACGAAAATAGAAAAGATTTATTTAAACCGTTTATCATTTTTACATAATTTTTACGATGCATTTAAATTTGTTTGATACGTATGATAGATTTTGAATAGGGATTATCGATCCAAAACTTTTGTTGGATCCGCGAAAGCTCTGTTTGAGATTAAGCCTCGTCCCATGAAATTTAAATTTGATGCCATGTTAAACAATCCAAAGAAATAAAGAAAAAGAAGAGGAGGCTAGGGTTCATTGATTCTGCATAATGCAATTGAATAAAAAAATATAATTTAACCAAGATACAAAGAGACTATGGGTGTGTTTGAGCCACATTATTTTGGAAAAATGTATTCTGGTATAGTAGATTGATGGAGAATGTGTGGTTGAAAAAGAAGGAAAAGTTATGGATGTGATGGAAAATATTATTTTATTGAAAAATGTGTGGTTAAAAATTAAAAATGAGTAGAAGAATGGGAATGGAAACAATAATGTGGTTCAAACTGGGGCTAAATGTTTGTGGACTATCATGCAAAAT